CTGATCGCGCCTCATTCGCTCATCAGCCCCACACCGCCACATTCCTTGTGTCGGCATTGAATGTTCGACATCGACATCTGAAGACCGCGAATGGGCCTGTCGGCTGACTGACCGAGTAGGATCCACAGTGGAAGCATGCTTACTGTGCTCAGATCATCTTGCAAATGATATCTTGGCTGAACGCCGCGCATCATACAACATAAGAACTCTTTCGTTTAGGCAACCATAGCATACATCAACTGCTCATACAAATGAGCAGACAAAGCATCTAACTGCCCAGCCAAACATCCATTTACGACACAAGGGACGGTCAGTACTGCTCTGCCTCGTATGACGAGCGTGCTTACCCATCGCCATGACGCAGGAGTCGAAACCAGGTTGATCACTTGCTCTTCGGTGGCTCAGCGCAGCCACATGCTGGCCAGGAGCAGGTCCCGCCGTTCTTCTCGACAGTTGCGCACTTCACGGTGTCCTGCGTTGCCCAATCGGTACAATATCCTTACTTCTCATGTATGGAACAGGCTACTCACGGACATTGTGGGTTTGGATGTGGGTAGTAGTGAGTGACTAGGGACTCATAGTCTGCAGGTATCCTCTTTTATACTGGGAGAGCAAGGCGCGCGTTTTCAAATGCGCGAAGGACCATTCGCTACTGTGCGACAAGGAGTCTAAAGGGCGGCTCTTCACAAATTCATGCATCACTACTGGCTGTGGTTATCCCCTTGGCCTCATTGGTAGATGATGCTGGGGGCTTGACTCGGGCTGTAGGGTGAAAGTGGGGTCGATACAACGGACTCGGGACTTTGCTCCGCCCCGGGGAAGCCTGAGGTTTGGCTCTGCCTTCTACTGCGTGGCTGAAATTACGTCACTCATGTTCCGGGTCGTCTCCTAAACTTGTAGACAAGTCAACAGCAGTCGAGGTCTAGCCACCAGGACACAGCCCGGGACCACGTCTTGCGATGGTTCTCATCCCCACTGCTAGACATATGCAGTTAGATGACTCGTACAAGACATGTACTTCTTGTCCCACCATCAACGCTCCCACGAGCAGCTACGTCCCCTCATGGTCAGGCTATCAGCGATGCAGGAGAAGGCTAGAACACCTCTGACTCCTAGTACCGTACTAGCCCGAGATGATAGACATATAGTCCGATTGATGTCCATGAGGGCATAGCAAGAGTCTGCTATCTCAGCTATTGCACACGCGTGGCTATCCACAACCTCAAAGAAATAGCTACCGGATGGCAAGGGCGGACTTGTCAGAGCCAAATTTCTCAAGGGCATATAAAGTCACGCGGCGTCGAGGTGGCCGTGACTCATAGTAACTCGACCCAAAAACATGTCTGTGACTATATCGGAGGACGTATACAGGCATTATACGTTCGAAACTTCGAGTCACATATACTTGTACAAGGAGCTGACACGTATCGTATATATCATGCTTGTTCGGCCTTGTCTGTCCCCAATTTGAATGTATTCCGAGTACGGGGAAATGCCACGGTGGCTTACCGTGTAACAGAGCACGTGAACGTGACGGACGCGTCTGCCCTGCGCATGGTACAGCTGGCAATGAATTTTTCATTCATATCTCTTCTCTCCAAGCTTACACAAATGCATCATCTCTCCGAATTCCTGGAATTTCACTCAGTCACTGGCAGGCATACAAGACATTATAAGGGCCGTAATTTCAGGATCACGCGAACATTGGGTCGCTGAGACACCGTGTTGTGCGTGCAGAATCACAAAAAATTCTCCGTGCATCTCTTCTACTCATCTCATGCGGACACATTTCTCTCTGAAATTTAATTTGGTCTTTATGTAGAGGGAAAGTCATGGAAAATCTGCATGCAACTGTGAACGAGTAATTCAGGAGACAGCTCCTTTGTTATCTTGCAAAATCATCTCGCTGTCGCCTTTGTGGCCGGATCATCGTGGCACATCGTGGGACAGACGCTGTTACAATTCAAACGTATGTTTCTATGTTTCACCAACCAACACATAAGATTTTTCTTACCTTTGACTGTAGAATCTCTGTGCCGTGGGCTGGAAGTCGAGTGGGATCTTACCGTCTCTGAGTCGCCGGAACGATGTGTACACAGTATTGCGGGCCCTCGAATTTTGAAATACCCTGCAAGGCACACTGCGCTCTGTGGTTTGGACCCTCCATAGGCAAGCAATGAAACTCACCCTGAACCAGCCGGTCGGTGATGGAGGAGAGCGCGTTGCCAAGGTCCAAATAGTGCGACCGCATGAACGCAATCTCCAGCTCCCGCACCTTCTCGTACCTGAACATACGCTTGTCAGTGGTCCTTACTGAACAACGGGACAGAGAACCAGGTGGTTACCTCGACACATGTTTTCTTGATCACGAATCATGTGCACGGGTCTGTACGCACTCATGGGTAACGGGGCTTCCAGCGCGAAGGTATCTTCGGGGGTTCACGGCCCATTGGAAGTCGCTGCCATTGTCCGCATTGATGTGCCGCAAAGGTCTCGACGATCTGCAAGCGCAAGTGGCGAAGGGAAGCGATGTAGTATTGAAGTTGCGGCGCAAGGGAAGCTTGGATATGGCGTCCACTGGTGCCATTATGTCATCATTTATTATATATGCAGGCTCGCGAGATACATGATGCACGTCGCGGTCACATGGTCCATTCAAGCCAACTCCCTGTCACTCATCGGCCAATTCGCATTCCCCATTTGGAGGCCATGTAGTTCGTATTGATCCCGCTTTTCCTCTCTTCAACCACAACCACCACGTTCTCCAAACTGACCTCAGTCGCTGAACTACACCGACTGTCTTTCTTTTCCGAACTTCAAGGTGAGTTGCGAGATGAGATCGGTGTATAGTACTACTAGCTCCCGCACAGCGTTGACCTACCGTCTCCTATAGATGCCGCTATTCTCAATCCTTCTACCCACGGCTGCCGCATCGTATGGCCTTCAGTCAGGTGGGTCTCGTGATTCATGCGGCCTGTGATTCGATTCGCAGGGTAGCACTGACACGGTGTCCAGTGATGGCTGTTATCTTCGTGCCTCAGGCAAACGAAAAATACTACGATCTTGGCGGCGCTCTTGGCTTCATGACGAGCACTCTTGTCTCGCTGTACTACCCGTCTTTGAAGGCGAGATACTGGTATAGACTGCCCGGCGTGCAACTTCCTCCTATAACTAGCTTTTCGCCAAGACAGTTGCTCTTGAGCGCTGCCGTGGTCGCTTGGAGCACAAGATTGGGCAGCTTTTTAGTTACAGTGAGCGACGTGCTCTCCGAGGAGGACGCTGACTGATCAAAATATATCTTTGTGACAGAGGGCTTTCAAGGCCGGTGGCGACTCTAGATTCGACGAGGTCAAAAATCAACCAGCCAAGTTTACAGCCTTCTGGATGGCCCAAGGTAGTGCAGCATCTGTATGGAACGACCCCCTGCTTACGCGATGTCTTGTACAACTCAAGCTACCTGGGTTTTCATAGTCGGCTTGCCGGTCTACCTCGTGAGCGCAGGACAGCGCCAGGTGTCCTGCCTATATGCTGACATGTTGCGAAGGTCAACACATTGCCTGCGGCTGCACACCCTCCGCTCAGGCCCCTCGACTACTTGTCCGTCGCCCTGTTCACCGGTTCCTGGATATTCGAGATTCGTAAGTGCCTGTCTCCGGTAACGGAGAGGATATGACTGAACTGTTATTTGTAGTTGCGGACAGACAGAAGACTGAATGGCGTCGGGCCAGAGACAACAAGGAACATGACGAGAAATTCATTACTGGGGGTCTATGGAGTGTTAGCCGCCATCCGAAGTGCGTGCCAACTTTCTGTGACACACAGCTTAATTGACGGCATTCGGCTTTCAGCTACGTTGGCGAGGTGGGCCTCTGGACGGCGATGTGGCTCCTGTCTGTCACGTCGTTACGGACACCCTCTTTTCCGCGCGCCTCCTGGCTGCTTGCGGGCGCGAGTCCTCTAATGACGTGGTTCTTGTTGCGTAATGTGTCAGGCGTGCCGCCTTTGGAGGCAAGTCCTTCCATGAATTCATCACTATACGCGGGGCTCACCATGTCGTGACCATGCACAGAGGGCGGGCGACCTCCGATTCGGGAACGATGCAAAGTGGCGGGAGTATAAACGGTGCGTCATGCTTGCACATCCCATCCCGGGCGCATTCGTGTTCCTGGGGCCTTGTCTGGCCATTCAAGTTGAGCAGATTGCCGTACCGATGTTCGCCCACCGTATCGCACATGTGTCCAAGTTCTTTGGCGCGTCGGCGTCACTCAGGTTACATACATTCAGCACCCTGGTGTCCTTGGCCCTCTGGGACGGCGGGCTCCGACACAACGTGGCCTCTGTCATCAGTTCTCAGCCTCATATGGTTTCATTGCTGTCCTTGTGGGCAGCTAGGAATGACGTTCTGGTGCGTCTTCTTGAATACATTGTCGGGGCCTCTGCAGGGTCTAGCACCGGTATGCGAGGATTGACTTGTCTTCGCCCGATGACATGAACATGAACCCTACCCTCCGCTGCATGCACACACGCTCGCCTCTTAACGCCTATTCTTGGCATAGCCTGAGCGAGGTTGTGCGATAGCCCGTTCGCTCGCTCGCAATGCAGCGCTTCCATAGCTCTCTGCTCGCAATATGTGCTTCCTGGGACAAACGAATGAAGGACTGACATTTTTGTCTCGCCCACAGGACTGTCCCCGTCTTCTGGCCTTGGGGAATGCGCGGGTGACGCTGTGACGAGCCGCTGTACACCCGCCAAATGCACTTCCCGCAGCTTGTGCGCCTTCGCACGTCGACCTTTTTGTCTACCCTATGTCCTGTTGCCAGGAACTCATGTCAAAGATGCAGAGTTGAATGTTGAACAATAGACTTCGTGTACGTCACTGCCGGAACTTGGGTTACTTGCCGTGGATTTCACTTGCGTGTCATCAATTGCATCCGGTACTATAAAGGTTGTAGCGCGTGAATTGCATGGAATTGTTAATCTGGAGTATAAAGGAGAAAAAGTGGACGTTCAGGGGCTTGAACCCTGGACCTTACGCAAACTGAGTGCAAAGCGTACGCGCTACCACTGTGCCAAACGCCCTTGATGAAGAATTACAGTGCATTTGTATCGGCTTAGTGACGACCATTATGCCCAGATGATTGGCTAGTTGGATAACAATCTTGATAGACACGTAAGACTATGATGAATGAAAGAAGTCAGGGCTATGGAAAAGGACAAGGAAACGTGGAGAAACACAAGATTACGTTGAGGCTATTGATGATGGGAAGCGCCGAGGGGTATTCTAGCTCGCATGATTGATTGGCTGGCCCAGGCCGGCAACTCTTCCATGCAGACGCAATGCCAGTGTATTTATCCCCAGTTCTGCCACTCATCTTGAAGCTCCTATCCAACTTACTGCCGGAATTGCGCTTTCTATGACCCAGTTGTCCGTCTTGTTTGAGCTCCCATAAAGCGGAAGCGCGAACTCCAACTCAGGTCAGCGTCATCTGTACACTCGCTGCTCACGCATTAGCGTAGTCCCATGGCCTCTCTAACCGGTCAAGAGTCGCCTGAGGAGCTGGCCGCCATGCATGACTTCCGTACCAATATATGGTCTGTGTTCCAACCGTTGTACGAAGACAAGTGGGATCAGGGTACGTACCGCCAGGGCTTCTCGCTCCGCCGTAACTAACATGCATTCGACGGTCATTGTCCATCAGCTAGATGGGACGCCGCTGTAGGTATGTACCTGCCTGCTTGCACGCACATCGCTGAGACTTGACACAACCGACCGAAGGACGGTTCAAGGCAGCACACAATCCCGTGGTCGTGGATCGCTTCATGCAAAAGGCCCGGCTGCCCACCTGGGAAGCCCTCGAGGAGCAGATGAGGAAGGGACCACCTGCGTTCCTGCGCCCTGGATGGCGAAGTCCACTCCTCGGAAAGAGGGTGGATCTGTCGTGGCTCGACTCGGATGCATTTGAGTGCCTACGGCCGAGCAAGGACGGGTGGAGGAACAAGAAGGTCGTCGTAATCGAATTTTGGGCGTCGTGAGTCTCGTCGCTTATCTCTCCACAACGTCAGATAGCTAACCGCAATTTACCCCTTGTCAGCTGGTGCCGGGTGCGTGCGGTGCCGTCCCGCTTCTCTGTCACTTCTCAATAGACATCCTGCTGCAGCCTTGCCATGTGGTCGGCAGCCTCCTCTCGAGAGTCAACGCGACCAAAACGGACGTGAAGGTTATCACGTTCAATCACGAAGGCATCTTCAACAAAACGGAAATTGACCGGTCCGTCGTCAAGACCTTCGTCAATAGCCGAAACGACATGGATTACCCAGTATACATTGACTCACATCGTATCGCCGTGCAGAGTAAGGGGGGCTGTGTCGTCTAGCCTGTTCAGGTGCAACTAACACATGTTTCGCAGGCCTGTTCGAGCCAGGACAAAACCTATCGATCCCGCTAGGTGACGACTTTCCCACCCACGCAACATTTCTGGAAGACTGACCTCTGACGTTAGCATTCATCATCACCACAAAAGACCAGCTTGTGCATTGGGTTGGTAATCCGGAGGAAATGTCCGCTCCGCTTGAAAAAGCCTTGCGGTCGAAGTGAGCGGCCCCAATTACCCCGTTGTACGATGTCTGCCGGGGTGGACGGAGTTTTTGCCCCAGATGTGTGTATGTTGTTGCATAGCTCAGATCTGTTTGTAGCCGGCCTATCGATTGGTAGCCTCCCCTCACAGTGTCCTGTATCTTCGTTGCACCCCAGAGTGTAGGTCTTTACAGGCGGCGCTTCGCTTGCTATGACATATTGCCCGGCACTTGTGTTGCTAGCTGGGTTCCTGATCGCTTCAGCCCGATCTGATCAGTAGGAATACTCACCCCTTGTTGCGCACCCGATCCGTACTGGCGGTTCCGCCTTCCGTATTGGAGACCAGTCGTCACAGTGACTGCGGATCGCGGGCGTCCGAGTACTACTATTACTTACAGGTGCACGTAGTAGATGCCTGACAAGTACAATAAGCACCTCATTGACCTGCACAAAGAATAATGGTTATCGCACCTAAGCCTGCACCCTTCCCCGTGAAATTGCACCTTCCTAGCATGTGGCCTGGCTTGACGGACGTCGGTGGATGTACGAACATGGCCGCACTAAGCCAGTACCACGGCGCTATCGATCGTGCCGGAGTACTATCGTGGTCCTTGCGCCGATCTGAGCGGCTGGCCAAGCCGCTCCGTTCTACCGCGTGTTGCAAATGAGATACATCGACAGGTACGTCCCTGCTCCACGCACTACACCTGACTAAATCTTCCTTGTGTACCTAAGGTATTAGGCTGGGGTTCAGGCCCCAGTGAAACATAGTCTCTGGCTGGGAAACTCACCTTGAGATTTGAGACATAGCAGGACCCCCACCATGGACCGGATGGCGCTATGCTGCGAAACACAACGGTATAATCTGCGCTACTGAATGTGCAGGCTTTGAAGATGATTGTGAGACAGCTGGCTGCGTTCTGTTTCATCACGGAAACCACGATGTACGTCGGTACAGAGGTACCATCGCATAATCAAGAGTGTAGCACGATGCCACTAGACACCGATGGGAACTTACTTGAGAGGAGACGTGTGGCGACTCAATTGCAATCAATTGATCCGAGGCGGTCGTAGGGGATGTCTCTCCGCGTTCGCTCAGTTCATGAGGCTTCCGGTTACTTCTCGGAGGCATGTAACCAAGCACAACCGAGTCCGACACGTCCGCGATCGGCGCACCCAGCATCATCGCGGGGCTAAGCGCGACAAGTACAATAGAAATAATTGATGCGTACTGGTCATTGTATAGATTGAAAAGATATGGTTGCATTCCCGCGTGGATCAGCCAGCCTTGGCGTAGTGTGACACATACCATGGAAAGGTTATGCGGAAGGCACACCCTATCAGTAACTGTCAGTGAGACGGAAGCTAATCAGCAACGGCAAGCATACCTTGTGCGATCGGAACGTGTATATATGCGCGCATTTGCCCCGGCCTATGTCCACTAGTGGTACTAGTGCGATCAGCAACGGGGACATATAGCCTTAGGAGCTGAGAATGCGACTCACCAGAAGGCTGGTAGTTATGTTCTAATATCAGTAGATATGCCTGTAGCCAAAAGTGTCGCTATATGCGACTGACTCGTTGCCAGCATTCATGGCGCCAAGTCCTGGCCACAGACGAGGGTGCGTACACGAAGGTTAGATTGGAAGCTGGAGCAGTCTGCTCTCGCCTATGCAGACCTAGATTTGACCTTGCTGAGGTGCGAGGAGGCGTATGGTGGCGGTTGAAATTGTCAAATTGATGCGTTCACACGCCTTCACTTCCATACCTTGTCTGTCGTCTGTACTTACTTACCACTAACCTCTTCAAAAATCTGTCAGCAGACCTCAGCTTGTTAATAATTACAGGGTACATACAGCCTGCCGGATACGTCGGAGCATCACAGTACGCAAACTGATCGTCCTTGTTTCTACTCTAGCATGCCTACGCCAGCAGAAGACGTCATCGACCTCACCGGCGACAGCGAACCGGAGGATGATGTACGGCACCCAGCAGCGGTCCCACGTCCGAACCGGGCCCACATCCCCCTACCTCTGAGCGAAGCAGCACGCCAGCAGCTGTGCAAGACGATCGAGACGTGTCCCGAAGACACACTCCGTGAGACACTTGTGAACATGGTGATGGACGGCGCGCTCTCAGCGCCCTCGCTGCTCGAAAACCTCGTTGCAGTCAACTCCCCGCCTCTCCCTGCTCCCGAACATCCCGTTGACCTCGTACAGTCCGTCGAGCCCAACCAGATCGAATCGGCACCGAATACGATACATCGCTGAGCAATATGTGTGGAGAGGAGTTCGAGCAAGAGAAAGACGCATGCATCTACTACAATTCGGGTACGACGCCTTCTCAGTGGTATGTCGGGAGGGTTATGTTATTGACGTGTCGACAACTTTGTGACAGGTTCTCTCAAGGTTGATTGTGGCCAGATTACGATGAAAACGTGCGCGGCCCCCCTGACGAAGAAGAGATGACATCCTGAAAATCTGCGTGAAGAAGGGCTTGCCCTATCGAAGAGACACATATTCAAGTGGCTCAATCGAAGCACAAAATAGTAGCGTAGTGTTCAAGTAAGTAGTCGTCTCCATTGAACACCCACGATCAACTGTTTGCGAGTGGAAATGTACATTTTGATGTCATGCGGAAAAGCAGCAACACACATTCATCGAGCAATGTGCCAACCAGACATACTACACATGGCATTACAGCGTTAAGTATAAGCTACATATGATTTTAGCTTCGTGTACACTGTACAATCGTGGTACTACAAATAAACAAAGTCCCAATTTTCCATATAACGACTGTTATCAAAGGTTAGAACGGCAATAGGCAGGGTGCCCTGTGGGCCGGCCCAGTGGATGAACAATAAGAAAGCATATAACCACGCATTCGGTGCATTGCCCTTGTATCTGGGAGCCGATGACCATGGATGCCGCGAGGCCAGGCTCAGCGGAGCATGAGGGCACCGTTATTCGCATTCGCCGCCCTCAGGACTGCCGCTCAAGTCAGTCCCTACACCGCGCGGTCGACCATCTCCCAGTCCTCCGACGGCACAACCACCCACGGCTGCCCAGAGTCCTCGGTCATGACGACGTCGCCATCGGCCTCGCGTTCGCGCTGCGAGGCAACGATCCGCTCGAGGTCGTTTGTCGCCATCTGCAGCGACTGCTCAAGCTCTCTGTTGGCCGTGCACATCGACAACGCTAGTCGTGGACCCATGTAGAGTATCTTGCGGCCCTCGGGCGACATGCGCATGCGGGCCGTGATAGCCACACGGTAGAGGTCGGGCTCCGGTTTAGAGCGTGGGAAGCATGCGCGCGGCGACATAATGGACGATTTGGATGTGAGAAGCGACGAGTGGCGGAACGAGGGAGGTGGGGTGGAGATGGGGGGAGGAGTGGGCTGAAGAAGGGAGGGGGTCTTGGCCGGGGTAGACGCAAGGCGCTGAGTGGACTTCCGGCGGTCTCGCTCGCCTTTATGGCGCGAGCTGCGTACGTGGGGCCCATTGGAA